GAGGGATGTATATACGCGCGCTGAAACGATAAATTTTCTCCCGCGCCGCTCCCCACTCATCACATGCAACTTCTTACAACCGAAGCAAGTACGACCCCCCCCTCTACAAACTCATCAAAATACGACCCCCCCCGTTGCTACTTGTAGCAACATAGGGTTGACCCTGATTCACAGGCAAAAAAAAAGACTGACTAATATAACTTTGAAAAATCCTCCAAGTCATTATACTACCTGCCTCTCCAACCAGCATCGAGTGCTTCGTGTAGTTCATTACTGCCCACGCAACCCGAGCAGCATCTTTGATACGATGTAAATTGGCCACCGATCCAATACGCATACCATGCCTTGAAAGCGGAAAACTCATTATCAGCATAAACACGAGAAAGAGGATTCCGTCAATTTCAATGACACAGCTTCACATAAGATATTCCTGAGAGACTCACCCATCCATAACTAGGGCGTCCAGTGTCGTTTCACCAGTCTCATCTGGAGAACCACCGTAACCAACAGTTGTGTCGCATTTAAGGCGCTCACATTCTGATAGCCCCTCAACGAGTGCGTATAGTCGACCACCGTATAATGCGTTCACAGCTGTAAAACGTTTCCTTCAATCGTTACGCTTTTCACTCTTTCATTAAATGTAGCTTGTCTTCATTTCTAAGATCCAATGAACTTTCTACTTGCTTTCCTATTCCTCATAAAGATTCGGAATTTCGAACATCGTTCTGTTCTACTCGCCATTTCTTAATTTCTAGAATAAATTTCTAGCGGTTCCATAAGTTTGCTGCGCGTAATACTTAAAGGCAAGATTCAGGATTAAATTATGAGGTAATTCCACTCAAATGTGAAAGTAGGGGTAGGAGTGGACCGCCAGTGGAGAAAAAAGAAAAAAAAATCGTGAAATACACAGGAAATACGAGCCTTTTGCTCTACGCTGCGGAGAAGTTCAAAAGGCCGGCAGGGAGATGAGAGATAATGTGAGCGCGGAGAGCGGTAGAGAAGTCCGAGTAGAGAGAGCATAGCAGATCAACATTAGCGACGCAGACAAGATATCGAGCGGTGGGCTAAATAACGGTTTTCGAAGTAGGGAAGTGACGCGACCCACACACTGCGTGCCTAGCGCTTCTAGCCACCGTAAAGGCTCATTAAGTGGGTCTGAGCCCGAACTTTGCCTTTAAAGGGAGGCATAAGATAATGTTGACGTGTAGGAGCCCTCAGTAATGAAGGTGAAGTTTCGCAGTGGATGAAAGTGAAAAAACCAAAAAACCATCATAAATGTATGAGCTTATGAGAGTCGGCGCAGAGAAGCGAGAACACGCAAGAGCTACGTTCGGAAACGCGGTCGCTGTTTAACAGGCGATAGGACTAACACTCATGACCGCAAACAATGAGCATTGGCAAAACCCTAACGCTAACTGCTGGGCCTTGTGAATGGCGCATTAGGAGCCTCCGGGAAAGCTTTATTCTACCCACCGAACGGATCGCTAGTGGGCCATACCCGGAGCGTATCTCCAATTAGTTGGTTTTGGAATGAATGGAACTTCAATCTTGAACACGATACCTCTAATCGGTCTATTAGCCTCTTCTTTCTGAGAATTTCCGCTCTTGTTTTTATGAGCTATTCGACATTTTGATTCACAAGTGTAGTCTATTCATTTCACTTCTAATAGCTGGAGTTTTGTTGCAAATGATCGTTAATTTATTAACGCAGCACATGTAAATGCTGGCTTCTGAAGCTAGCATTCACAGTCTGATGAGCTCAATGAAATTTTGCCTTAATCTGACTTGAAAATCTGTCGAAAATAGAACAGTTCTTAAGAAACAAATTGGAAGCTTCGCAGGAAAGAACCTGTTCAAGCAGTTGGTGAAAAACAAAGAGTTGAAACAGTAAGTAAAGTTTTGTTGAAGATCCAAATAAAGCGCAAATGAGTCCTACGTAGAAGTAAAATCTCCTTGTAGACTTTTCACCTTACCTTTTTGATTCGCCTGTTGAAAATCTTTAGTGGACCATGTGCTGATGACCAAAGGAGTCGAACAGCAGCTGCTATAAAATAAGCTGGCGAAAACGACGAAGAGGAGCATAAACGATGTAGCACAAGTTCGTACTCTTTTGCAACCAGAAGTGATGTCCAATGACCTTGTACCAGCAGCCAGATTGATCCGTGTGGGGGTGTGTTGTAATAGATGTAACCTTGTGTTCAACAAGTGGCTCTATGAAACAGCGGTATATATCAAACTGTGCACCAGGAAGTATAGAGCAATGCTCGTCTCAGTTCCTTTAGGCAGCACCCTTCCAGAGCCTTCCTGAGCCTGACGACACTATTTGAATTGGTGATCCTCTACACCACGTCGCGAGAGCATTACCTTTGCACAATTATTGTGAAAAGCATTAACGAAAAACTGCCCGATTTTGTGGCATTCTTATTGCCCTTCGCTTGCAATGACGCGCTTCCTGAGCTAAAAGAGGATTCCGCTATACGGTCGATGGTCGAAGTAGGCAAAAATTATTTTGTGGAAGGATAGGCGGACCTCCTGAGGGCGAGGTTCTTGAGGGTGAAAGCTGACACGCAATTCTTAGTGGGTACTGATATGCCCCAGCGCGGCGCGATCGACGCGGTACCCCCAGCGACTGCCTAAACACTTCATGCAGCTCTCTACCGGTTTGAGAGTATTGGCATCAAAGAGGGGAGCATGAATGAAAATCGCTACAGTGCGGAGATCAAAGAGCAGGAGAGGGGCCCCATTTCTCGGTTTCTGGGCGGTTTTCTATGATTTCTTCCCCACCCCGGCTTCACTAGCCACCTCTCCCTCAATTCTAATGGGCTGCCTTCCATAACAAGCATCCGCCTTCTACAGGGGTGGCTACTAAATATTGGCGCATGGTTTATTGATCATATTTCCAAAAAGAGAAGCTATCATATCTTCAGAAGTTTATTTTCATATACAATAAAACATGAAAATTCATTACCAAAGAAAGTGCTCGAGATGGCCTCCTTTGGTAGCGATACAGGCTTGAAGTCTCTTTTCAACTGACATCACCGTGGGCCGCAAGTAGCTGACGTCGGCATGACGTGAGTAGATCTTCAGGCCAGAAATGGCGCACGATTTGCAAAACGCGACAGGCAGTTGTTGGATCTGGCTAGCAGACATTCTGCTCGACTTTGTGTACACACAAGGAACCGTTTTTCAAATTTGTTATGGTTTGGGCAGGAATTACTTCCGAAACCATGACACCGCTTGTCTTTGTGGATGAATACATCAAAGCCAGCGCCCAGATCTACCCGGAAACAATTTTCACGTGATGCCCTTTTTCAAGACTCTTTTGACCTTCAGCGAACGTCATTGCATTCTTCAGCAAGACAGGGCGCCTCCACATGCCGCAAAATCAATGTTGGAGAACTGTGACCGTCATTTTCCAAGTTACCGGGCACAAAATGTTTGGCCATCTAAGTCGCCCGATTTGAACCAATTGATTTGGCGGTGTGGGGTTCTTGAAGCAGAAGATGCCTTCTGAGCAACGTCGAAGTTTGGACTCCTGAAGGCTTCCTTGGAGGAGGCGTGGAAGGAGCTTGACGTCAGCTACTTGCGGCCCACAGTGATGTCAGTTGAAAAGAGACTTGAAGCCTGTATCGCTACCGAAAGAAGGCCATCTCGAGCACTTTCTTCAGCAATGTACTGCCATGTTATAAGGTATATAAAGATAAACCTCTGAAGATGTAAAAGCTTCTCGTTTTAAAAATATGGTCAACAATCCATGCGCCAATATTTAGTAGCCACCCTGTATAGGCAAGAACAGCGATACTTGATAGCGAAGTTATCAGCCTTGAACCTACTACTGTTGTGGAATTTTTTCGCTTGAACTTGAACTTTATTTACTCGAAGTGTTTGAGAGTCTCATTGCGGCCAACTTGCTCAAAATAACGCGTCCCTGAGGTCCACACACACAGTAAACCCTTCTTTCAAAACCCATAAAATCATGTCTTCTCCACTGACTGCTTTCTCCGCTTCGGCCCCCTTTCTCGTTCCGTGGCTTCAAAATAAAGAGCCCCCCCAAATTGGTAAACTTTAGCAACAAAGGTAGTTTTGAAACTGAATCGCGTGCTCGAAGCAGCGCAACGGGAAGAAATGGACTGTTTGTCTGCAAGACCATGAAAGAGTTGCCGCCGTCTACTTTTGTGCTTCAACGTGGAATGAGCAATCTCTAACAGAGTCGTCACAAAGATAACGACGCACATTTGAAAACAATGTTGTGAATCGAGACACACCGGTCTTCAGAATGCTCTGATCACAGAAGGATCAGAAGTTGGAGCTGGAACTAAAGCTAATCGTTTGTAGCCGTAAAATCAACTAAAATATCTGCAACTCTGAATGAAGGTTTGAGCGCGTGCGCGCGGCCAGAGAAAATGGATCTGTCATTGCAGAATGCAAGAATTCCAGTTCATCGTATAAAAAATTCGGTTTTCTAGGCATCCTGAGGTCTTCAGACAACTTTCTATATAATGAATGGAGTGACATAAAAGAATACTCTATGCAAAGCGAAGCAAATTTTGATCTCTTCACGAGCATATGTTTTTTAGGATAGAAACCTTGACAATAAGTTGTACTCTCTTCTATCTACAGTCCCCTAGAGGCGACTGTTTTAAAGAGTCAAAGGCTATCTGATAGTGAAGCTAGTCAAACAGCCAGCAAATCGTGGAAGCACGTTAGCGACTAACGATTGTCACGAGTCAGACATTTACGACTGTGACCTTTTCGAAAAACCCTATCTAAAGCTCGAGTGCAAATGCACCAACACCATAAAAAATGGAGAATCTGAACAACTGTTGAAAATTGTTGTCATCAGCGTCAAAGTTTTGTTCTTTGCTTTCACCGAACAGAAACGCTGACCGTGTAGGATTTTCAGGATATGCTCAAAAAATTCTATTTTCCATTTCGAGATTCTAAAATAGAGATCCATGTAGGTGCGTTTTTTCGAAAGTTGGACCGGAATCTAGCCTGTAGCAGCCAAAAAACCAGCTTCATTCGCTAGAAATTACGAAGCCTCACCTACGAGAACCACTTTCGCGCACCCCTGGATAATAAGCTTTTCCTCAAAGAGATGCACTGGCCGTAGCCAATATAAGTACTACAATTTCTTTGTGATTAGTACGTAATCGCTAGGGGTTAGAAATCTAGGCAGGACAACTTTTTCTCGTGCCGCATCCTGACATCGAGGCGCATTGTCTCTCTGACACTAAGTATCTCTCGCTGTATGACGCTAAACTCCTAGTTGTTATAAAAAACACGTCCCGCAACCAGGCTTATGGATAATGAACGCTAGAGCACAACTATTCGCAAAAGTAGAGTATGGCCCGATCTCTCATTCGAAAATGCGCAACAGCGGCCATAGAGTCTGGTCGTGTTGCTTCAGAAGGTTCCCGCTTTCCGACGGGATGTCTGCGTCCTCTTGTCAGGCATCTCCCTCGCCTACACTCTCTTCTAGGCGCTCGATGTCTTACTCGTAGGAAGTCGCTTCAGAACTAGGCGCCGCTCAGTTTTAGTGTTTCGGCCTAGGTTTGTGAATAATTCAGCCATCCTGTCGATGACTAGAAAAAATACGGTAATTTCAGTGCAGTAATTTTGATGTTACAGATTTTGTTATGCTTGCCCTATATACACTTTCAATAGGAACCAATGAAAGGTAATAATTACCATAGCTTGAGGATGGTGAGGTTTTGATGACGTCATCGAACGTCCAATTACATCATCACGACCGCACCGCCATCTACTCATCGTGATCACCGCCTTTAAGTAAAATCAAATGCAACATAATATCACTGCAAGTTTTCTTTCATTATTAAAAATAAGTAAAAAAAAGCCAAAATGAACCACAGTTGAAAATCGAGTTGGAAGGAAAATAATTTATTCAGGAGAAACTGTTGAAATAATATTTTTAATTGAAACTTGTGCAATATGTCTCGATAAGGAACAATGTCACAGTTAGGATAGGCCTCAGTGGTATTTACCACAATGATCTGAATGCAATTTATAAAGCGTCGGCCATACAATGCATACATTGACAACTTTGAAGGTGAATGATATTGTTATGAACATGCGAGTAAACCCAATCGTCGAACACCGTGTAAAATAAGTAATGAAATACAATAGTTAGTATATTAATAACACGAGAAACACATATGCAGCAGTGCTTTTAATCAGTTCATATTCTTCTGTATGTCCCCAGAAGTTTACGGCAGTTCGGGCAATAATGTTCGGTATCCTGAAATACGACGAGAATGTTATCCAGGAAAAAATTCGGGGATAAAATACACATTCAGCTCGAAGGCTTCTAGCACGCTAAGGGCCACTCACGCGACTTGTGATTGGAGATCCTGGCAAGCTACAATTCACAGTAGAGGATTAGCATTTACCTTGATGGTAGGGGGGCATTCGGTGAAAATGGCCCAGTCCTGTGCGAAGCGGGGTCGTGGTTTGGAGCAGGGGTTATATGTTGGATTTTTGAGACCTTGTGGATAGTAAACAGTTTGAGAATATCGTAAAATTCGCTACTCTATGCTATCATAAACATCATTTAAACCTCTTTCGGAGACGCAGTCTTGGACTTTGAGGTGGAGCTGGAAGTATGTCAGGTGGGACCAAGCTCAACCTTACTGACACTACACCATCGAACATCGGCAGGTAAGAAGCCCGCAATGGCAAGGATTTGTAAGTGAGAGGGAGAGGGGGTCATATTCATGAGCGGGGGTGGTATGTCCAAAATTTTCTCAGCATGCGACACACCCTCGGGTATCATGCACACATTATTGGACACTATCGCAGTATAAGGGAGCATCTTCTAGGACTGCGCGTAGGAGGGGGCAAGAACTACGCGGAAAATGAAAATGACTCTTGCACCTTAGAGTCTCTCCTCCCTCTTGAGGCTTAGTCCCGTTTTAACGAAAAAAAGACATGTTTAACGCGGCTTTCAATGCATTGTAATCACAGTGCCCCCGTGTATTGCGATAGCGCCCATTATTATTCTCCTATAGGCATTCGAACTGAATTGAACTATTATTTTCGAACACTTACTCTGCAGCCATCAACACAAAACGGGATGCAGCAACATAACCAACACCTGGAAATAGAGTAATTATTCGAAAGCAATGGACAACCTCGAGAAAAAAGGTCCAACGCGGAAGACAAAATAAGTAGAAGAAATTCGAAAATCGGACTAACCCGAATAATGCCATGCCGCCGCACAGTAACCAAGTGAGTAGCCCACTTTTTGGTACAGTCTTCGTCAAAATCTGTAAAGCAAGTATAGAAGAAGTTAACACGTCGATTGTAAAATAATGTCCAGAAATCCGAAGAACTGAACACCAAAAAAATGGGAATCAAAAAATTACCTGTTGATGACAGTGTGGACACATCATTGACGACGGGTTCTGATTGAAAGCCACTGAGCCTACAATGATCGTTTGTATTGGAGCGGGGCCATAGCCTGGAGCTCCTGCTGGAAACCAAAGCGTTTAGGGGCTTATCGGACGGCACAATTAAAAATACTGTGCAATTTACAGTGAAATAAAATAGAGTCTCAGGAGCAGTGGATCGAGACCGTATTCCTCGAAAGTTACATATACAGTTATATTAAAGGCGGAGTTTACGAGCGAGCGTCCACTAAAATAAAGGTCGCGGTGGTCAAGGATGAAAGAAAAACCATGAGAAACGGCTCAGAACCAGAGATCGACCCTTCCTTGCTCGTTGGTTTCCACACTTGGTGCGACTCCCATCAGCACTGCCCTCTTCAACGCTAGCACTCTCTCTCTCTCTCTCTCTCTAACAGCTGGACACCTACGGCGCGTGATTGGACAGTCGGTGGCGTGCGCGTCGATAGCGCCACGGGGAAGGCTATGCTCGGTCACCGGGGACATACCCTTCGCTGCAACTTGCGCCCGCCACTATATTCTTCGAATCGAGAAGCTGTAGCTGAACACCATTATGAGAGCTGTTACTGCGAGACTACTACCACCTGCTTGTCGACTGATTCCGCTGAACGACGCAGTGTGGGGAAATTGTGTCAGAGAATGAAGGCCAACAATTCAAGTTAAATATTGTAGCATATCATTAGAGCAAAAAATTTTACTTAATCATATTGATTAGCTGGACTGGTTGAACTATTTCAGGCTGCCCGACACAGTCGCAGTACCTCAGTTCACCAGTTTTCATATGATATTTCAATTACCCTTTACTTTACACTATCCCATTCTAGGACACCGAAGGATACTCCAAATAGTAAAATATTACTGTAAACTCCAGAAAAAAAAATTTAAAGAGAAAAAAATTAGAACAGACCCCAAATATGCGCAGTACAAATTAGCTCGAGATAGCTGAGCATTACGATCTAACAAGAGTAGAGTGTGCTTTTAGACCCCTTCAGAAGTACAATAATATATGGGTACCCTTCGACCCTTGCCTCTTATGTCAGGAGA